AAAAATAATTGGTGAATAATGGTGTTTGGGAAATAGGGCACTAATTTCCTCAGTGACATAGCTAACACCAGGTATGGCTAAGTGGTAAGTTGACACCACCACCACCCACTCTCAATCATGAAATTCTAATTAAATTCAATTGTTTACAAAAAATAGAGACACAGATATAGGAGCAGAACATGTTGAAGAAAATAAGACTTTTCACAAGAGAGGCACAAGATGAGAAAGGAGAGAGTGCAGGTGACTAAAATTAATTACATGAATTTATGGAATGTCAATTACTGTAGCTCAATAATAGAGCTTGTTATTAGGGATGGTGATGTCTCTGGAAGTTCTTTCATTTTCCTAGATTGTCTTGGCCATCCTGGGATTTTTGGTCTTCTGTATGAAGTTGAGTATTGTTCTTTTGAGGTCTGCAATGAATTGTGTGTTGGCAAAGGCTGGTTATTTGTTTCCCAGCTGGCCAGACCCAAAATAATCACACAGACATGGTATTATTACAACACTGCTTGACCTATTAGCTCACATTTCTTATTGGCTAGCTCTTATATCTCAAACCAACCTGTATCTGTTCAGCTGTATGTTGTCAGGTGGCCATGGCTTACTAGGCAAAGTCCAGGCATCTGTCTCCTCTGGCGGCTACATGGCATCTCATTGACTCTGCCTTCTTTCTCTGAGCATTTAGTTTAGTTTTTATACCTAGTTATATTCTGAAATGCTATAGGTCCAAAAAGCGTCTTTATTAACCAATAGCATTGACAGGATACATAGAGGAATCCCACATCACCTCTGTTTTTCTGTCTAAATAAACAGGAAGTTTTTAACTTTAGCATAGTAAAATTACATAGAACAAAACAAGTATCAAGCAAGAATTATAGCTACAATATTTATATCTACTTTATCTTTTACTCTAACTAAAGAAAACTCTAATTATAACTACCTAATCTTCAACTCCATTAAAGACCCCAGAAGGATAAAATATTGCCTAAATTAACAAGAAGTACAGTGAAAGCAACTTCCAAAACTAGAACTGATGGAGACATCTAACCACCTGAAAATTCACCCAAAGTTTTCTGTAACATTGCAGCATCCATCTTCAGCCCACAAGACAATAGTATCCAGCAGACTTTACCAAGAATCAGGAATTTTGAAAGACCATTTTACCTGTATTGGCAGTATGTCAGTTACTTTCTTTTGTATCCTACAGAATATCTGGCAGACTCTTTCATGAAGCAGAAACCTTATGGACTGTCTCACCTTCTTTTGGCAATTTCAGTAGTCATATTTTTGGCAACTTCAGTAGTGATATTTCTTCAGGTCCTGCATGTGTAGCTCATACAGCACAACATCAAGCAGTACAAGCAAGAACAGTTTCTTTCCCAAATGGCTAACAAGATCAATAAGAAGCCTCTTCATTGCCTATCTTCCCCTTGAATTAGATTAATGCTGCCAGGAACAGATGTATGTCATAATAAAAAATGCTAAGTTCTTACCACGTTTTAAATATCATATAATGTAGACTTTGGAAGGTTTGAAAAATAACTATACATCTGAAATATATCTTTATAAATCTAGAATACCTAACTAACATGACTACAAGTTTGAGTATTATAGATTATTATCTATTAACCTGTATTTTTAATTATACATTACATTTTTAAATGAGCCGCACAAACATAATCCATATACTGACTTGAAATTTGTATACATAGACCAAGATTCATACCAATGCAAAGTATTCATCTCAATAGCATATCCCCCTTTAAATGAAAACAAGCATTTTTAAACAATATTTGTAAAATTTGGGCATAGTTCTCTCCAAACTGATTCCTGCTTTTTGTTGGGTGATGTAATTTTAGGGGTTTATGGAGACCTTTCATGGGAGCCTTGTTCCATCAAACCACATTAGACTGGAAGGAATCCACAGGTTCTCATCCTCTGTGGAAACAAAAGCCTAACCTCTTTTCCTAAGCAACATACTCAAATTTTAAAGTCAAGATATCTTTTAAGTCTATAGGTTGTTTTAGCTTTACAGCCTATACAATGAAATTTCTCTATATATACTCACAGTTTAAGAAAATCAAAGAAAATAAAATAATATACCTAATCTAGGCTCTCTGTGTATATTGCACCTTTACCTGGCTTATTTCTCTTACTCTATTACTTTGTCTACATATTTAGTATTTATCTTATTATCTTTTTTAAATTTAGTTATTTCCACCTCCTTCCCTCCTCCTCCTTTCCTCCCCACCCATTCCCCCTCCCTCTCCAGTCCAAGGAGCAGTCAGGGTTCCCTACCCTATAGGAAGCCCAAGGTCCTCCCTGTTTCTCCCAGGTCCAGGAAGGTGAGCATCCAAACAGACTAGGCTCCCACAAAGTCTTTCCATGAAGTAGAATCAAAACCTAACGCCATTGTCTTTGGCTTCTCCATTAGCCTCCACAGTCAGCCACATTCAGAGAGCCTGGTTTGATCACATGCTCCATCAGTTCCAGTCCAGCTGGCCTTGGTGATCTCCCATTAGATCAGTCCCGCTGTCTCAGTGGGTGGACGCACTCCTTGTGGTCCTGACTTCCTTGCTCATGTTCTCCATCCTTCTGCTCTTCATCAGGACCTTAGGAGCTCAGTCCAGTGCTCCAATGTGGGTCTCTGTCTCTATCTCCATCCATCGCCAGATGAAGGTTCTATGGTGATTTGCAAATTATTCATCAGTGTGGCTATAGGATAAGGCCAGTTCAGGCACCCTCTCCTCTTCTGCCCAAGGAAAAAGTTGGGAACATCTCCTTGGACACCTGGGAATCCCTCTAGAGTCAAGTCTCTTGCCAACATTAAAATGGCTCCCTTAATTAAGATATCTACTTCCCTGCTCCCTCATCCAACCTTCTTCCATCCCAACTATCCCATTCCTTCAAGCACTCCCCATCCTCTCCTTCTGCCTTCTTTTTCCCCATTTCCACCTATCCACACCACACCCCCACCCCCGTGCTCCCAACCGCTGTCTGGCAATCTTGTCCTTTTCCAATATCCAGGAGGATAACCAGATGCTATTCTTTGGGTTCACCTTCTTATATAGCTTCTCTAGAATCACGAATTATAGGCTCAATGTCCTTTATTTATGGCTAGAATCCACTTATGAGTGAGTACATCCCATGTTCATCTTTTTGGGTCTGGGATACCTCACTCAGGATAGTGTTTTCTATTTCCATCCATTTGCATGCAAAATTCAGGATGTCATTGTTTTTTACCGCTGAGTAGAACTCTAAAGTGTATATGTGCCCCACCTTCTTCATCCATTCTTCTATTGAGGGGCATCTAGGTTGTTTCCAGGTTCTGGCTATTACAAATAGTGCTGCTATGAACATAGTTGAACAAATGCTTTTGTAGTATGATTGGGAATCTCTTGGGTATATTCCCAAGAGTGGAATTGCTGGGTCCTGAGGTAGGTTGACTCCCAGTTTCCTGAGAAACCAGCACACTGATTTCCAAATGCACAAGTTTGCATTCCCACCAACAATGGATGAGTGTTCCCCTTACTCCACATTCTCTCCAGCATAGGCTATCATTGATGTTTTTTATTTTAACTATTCTGACATATGTAAGATGGTATCTCAGAGTTGTTTTGATTTGCATTTCCCTGATTGCTAAGGAGGTTGAGCATAACCTTAAGTGTCTTTTGGCCATTTGAACTTCTTCTGTTGAGAATTCTGTTCAGTTCAGTACCCCATTTTTAATTGGGTTAATTAGAGTTTTAATGTCTAGTTTCTTGAGTTCTCTATATATTTTGGAGATCAGACCTTTGTCTGATGTGGGGTTGGTGAAGATCTTCTCCCAATCAGTAGGATGCCTTTTGTCTTAATGATAGTTTTCTTTGCCCTACAGAAGCTTCTCAGTTTCAGGAGGTCCCATTTATTCAATGTTGCCCTTATTGTCTGTGCTATTGGGGTTCTGTATAGAAAGTTGTCTCCTGTGCCCATGCACTGTAGACTAACTGCACCTTTCTCTTCTATCAGATTCAGTGTGGTCAGATTAATATTGAGGTCTTTAATCCATTTGGACTTGAGTTCTGTGTGTGGTGATAGATATGGATCTATTTTCATTCTTCTACAGGTTGACATCCAGTTATACCAGCACCATTTGTTAAAGATGCTTTCTTTCTTCCATTGTATAATTTTAGATTTTTTTGTCGAAAATCAGGTGTTTATAGGTTTGTGGATTAATATCTGGGTCTTCGATTTGATTCCATTGGTCAACATCTCTGTTTTTGTGCCAATACCAAGCTGTTTTCATTATTGTAGCTCTGTAATAGAGTTTAAAATCAAGGATGGTAATGCCTCTGGAGGTAATTTTATTGTATAAGATTGTTTGGCTATTCTGGGTTTTTTGTTTTTCCATATAAAGTTGATTGTTGTTCTCTAAATCTATGACTATCCGTACTCTTACATTATAACTGTCTATACTCTTTCCTCTCTCTCTCTCTCTCTCTCTCTCTCTCTCAAACCTATGTATAATTATCCAACACTGTGACTCCTTTGGAAGTCTTTTTTAATCTGAATCTGTCTTTATTGCATATTTATAAATATTTTTTTAACCAGGAGTGCTTTTATATTTTTTTAAATTTATAATATTTGATCATGGTTAGGACAAAATCAGTTTTCCCTGTCTGCTTGCTCCACCCAGTTTAAAATTGAGGAGGCCTGTTCACCGCCTCTGAGAATGCTGGGTGGGAGCCAGCCTTACCACCTCAACTCTGGGAAGCACCATACAGCATATGAACTCTTTTTATCTATGTAAAAGCTAAATCTGCCATGCAGCACACTTCACAGCCTATAAATATCTCTGTGTATGGTGGCATGAAACTGCCATGCTCTCCTACCTACCAGACTCAATTTGGCTTTTTTCCCAGGCCAGAGTGCTGAGTGGCAGGCTTGCTCTCAGATACTTTCCTGCTAATCCTAACCAGGCACATAAGCAGCCAAACCTGAACTGTGGCTTGTCAGGATGATTAGTCTTTGTCATTCATGTGCCATTCTGTTTGTAGAGGCTGCTTATTTGTTTCCCAGATGGTCAGACCTAAAACAATCACACAGAAACTTTATTATTACAACACTGCATGGCCCATTACCCCATACTTTTTAATGTCTAGCTCTTATATCTTAAATTAACCAATTTAAACTATTAAACTGTATTTTATCACATGGTTGTGGTTTACCAAGCAAATTTCCAGCATCTTTCTCCTTTGGCAGCTATATGGTGTTTCACTAACTCCATCTTCTTTCTTCCAACATTCAGTTTAGTTTTCCTAACTAGCACTATTCTGGCCTGTCATAGACCCATTAGCTACTTTATTAACCAAAGGCATTCACAGTTTATAGATGAAAAATCTACATCAATTATGCTGAGATTTTGATAGGGATTGCATTAAATCTATATATTGCTTTGGGTAGGATTGCCATTTTTATTATGCTGATCCTGCCTATCCAAGAACTTGGGAAATCTTTCCATTTCCCCATACCTTCTTTCATTTTTTTTCTTCAAAGGTTTAAAGTTTTTGTTGCACAGATCTTTCATTTCATTGGTAAGTGTTACCCCAAGATATTTTTTATTATTTGTGGTATTGTGAATGGTGGTGTTAACTAGATACTTATCATTTGTATATTGGCATATAAATAGGTTGGCCAATGAATTGAATCAAAGACCCAGATAGTAATTCACACATGTATGAATACATGACTTTTGACAATGAAGCTAATATTATAAAATAGAATAAAGAAAGCATCTATAACAAATGGTCCTATCACAACTGGATGCTAACATGTAGAAGAATGAAAATGGATCCATATTCATCCTCATACACAAAACTCAAGTCCAACTGGACTAAAGACATCAATATAAATCTGACCACACTGAACCTGATAGAAGAAAGAATGAGAAGTTGCATTTAGTGCATGGGCACAGGATAACACTTCCTAAATAAAACACCAGTAGCATAGACACTGAGAGCAACAATACATAAATGGGACCTCTTGAAACTGAGAAGCCTCAATAAAACAAGGGACACAGTCAATAAGACAAAAATGCAGCTACTGAATGAAAAAAAAAGATCTTTACCAACAGCACATCAGGACAGAAAACTGATCCCATATATATATAAAGAAATTAGACATCAGAATAACAAATAATCCTGATGATGGAAGTCACAAAATAATTCCACACCAGTTCAGAATTATTAATAATAAAAGTGTTATTTATTTTAGGGAAAAACTTACAGATCACTGTACTAGATAACAGTCCTCTGAGCAAGCAGGAAGAGAGTCTAGCAGCTTGATGAAGGAGCTTGAAGTAAGAGAGCAGGTGCACAATTTACAGCTGCTTTTAGAGTATCAGAAACCACACCCAAGTGGGCTGGTATCTTAAAAGCTATTGGTTGGAGAAGCAAAATGTGCCCCCCAGCACCTACCTCATTTGTTTAAATAAGAGGGTTTCAAATCCAATATAAACTATATACGCTAGGAGTAGATATCAAGTATAATTAGAATTACAACCAGCATAAACAATATTAAGCAAGGAATGTATGCTAAATATTTTAATAAACATCCTTTCTTAAGGAGTCAAAGTCTTGCATAGGAAATGGCTTGGCTAGATAATAAAAGTACAGTAACTACAACTATACTATCTAATCTTTAACCCCATTGAAGGCCTGAGAACAGAGATGATATTACTTGAGCAGGCAGGAAGTACAATCAAGCAGCTTCCAAGTGAGCAATAAATGATGGAGACAACTGGCTACCTGAGGAGTCACCCAAAGTCTCATTTGGAACGTTGAAACAACCAACTTTTGCTAAAGCCTAGTGTAGCCGGCAGACCATTTTTAGAGGCAAAATTTTTTTTAGAACCTTCTTACCCTGTCTTGGCAAGATTTAACAATCTTTTTCCTTGTGTCCTACTCATCCATTTTGGATACCTTGTGCTTTGTCAGTGGTTGAGGTATACGCAGTTCCTTGACCAAAAGCCAAGAAGAAAACAAACTCTGAGTGGAGTGTCTTTGGTGCTCATCATTCTCTTGGGAATAGATTGATGCTTTTTAGAAGCAATCATGTCTCATGTCAACAGAACCCTAAGTTATTTAAATGCCATGTACTACAGCCCCTTGATGTGGTTGCAGATTACCTATCTAGACAGAATACAATCTCTATTTGTCTAAAATATCTAATTGATCTGATTGTATATAAAACAAACATGAACAACTATTGACCTATATTATTCAATACCAGCACAACTTAGAGACTAAACTTCATGTAAGAACATTAAATAAACTATAAACAAATGTGGAACAAAAGAGGACAATGAGCTTAAAATACAAACAATCTGTTAGTATCTTGATCAGAGGTAGGAGTAATATATAATGCAATATGAAAATATATCCCAAAAGGTTTATCAATATACAAAATATCCTAAACAGAGGTAGAAACACCCATGTATACAATCTCACAGAATAACTTTGCATAGATATACAAATAATATAAACAAAAATAACAAATATAATTTGAACTTGTATCAATATACAAATACTATACCAATGTAATATCCATAATATATGTACAATATATCCATAATAACATCTCACAAGTATTCACTCTATTACCCACTATTATTATTCCCCCTTTTTGAATAAACATAGTTTTCACTCCAATCTTCTATATAGCACAAGTAATACTCAACAACCCCCCACCATGAAGACCTTTTTGGTGATTGGGGGCATCATCTTCTAGAGTTACCAATGCAGAGAGCCATTCGTCTCTAGAAACAGGGTTCGGCGAGAAGTGGGAGGAAGCAAGAGATCAGGTGTACCCTTTACAGCTGCTTTTAGAGTATCAGAGACAACACCCAAGTGGGCTGGTATCTTAGAGGCTATTGGTTGGAGGAGCAGAATCTGCTACCACAGCATAATCTAATTTAAAAATGGGGTACAGATGTAAACAGAGAATTCTCAACAGAAGAATCTCAAATGGCAAGAAGTCACTTAAGGAAGCATTTAACATCCTTAGCCATCAGAGAAATGCAAATCAAAACAATTCTGAGACAGCATCTTACACCAGAAACAATGAAAAAGAGCAAAAACACCAATAATAGTTTATGCTGGAGCAGAAGGAGAATAAGAACACCTCTCCATTGCTGGTGGGAATGCAAATGTGCTCAACCACTTTTGAAATTAGTATGGTAGTTTCTTAGAAGAGTAGAAATAAGCCTTCCTCAAGACCCAGCAAGATCACTCATGGGCATATACCCAAAGGATGTTCAATTATGCTATAAGGACATTTACTCAGTTATGTTCATAGCAGCATTATTCATAATGGCCAGAACCTGGAAAGAACCTAGATACTCCTCAAGCAAAAATTGGATAATGAAAATGTGAGTCATGTGCACAATGGAGTACTACTCAGTGGGAAAGAAATGTATCTTAAAATATACATGTAAGTGGATAGAACTAGAAAAAAATCATGATTGAGGTAACTCAGACATAGAAAGATAAGCATGGTATGTGCTCACTTATGAATAGATACTAGCTGTAAAGCAAAGGATAATGAGCCTGTAGTCCCTGACCCTTGAGAAGTTAGGTAACAAGGAGAACCCTAAGAGAAACATACATAGATCCCATTGAGAAAGAGAAATAGACACGATCTGCTCAGAAAATTGGGAGTATGGGAATCAGGGAAAGGAAAGCTGAAATGGGAGGAGAAAAGGAGAAAGGAATGGGGAGGAACAAATGGTTGAGATGGGGTAAAGATGGAGACAGAAAGCAAGGAAAGAGACATTTGATTGAGGGAGCCATTATGGGGCTACCAAGAAACTAGAGAAATTATGAGAAATCCACAAGGAGGAACCCAGCTAAGGCCCTAAGCAATAGTGGAGTGGGTGCCTAAACTGGCTTTACCCTGTGGTCAGATTGATGGTTTTCTTAAATGTCATCATAGAACCTTCATTCAACAACTGATGGGAGCAGGTGCAGAGTTCCACAGCAGATAACTGAACTAAGCACCCAAATCCGGTAAGATTTGGAGTAGTGAGAATATGAGCAGAGAGGGCAAGACCATGATGGGACACCCACTTAAACAGAATACTTAAACTAATGGGAGCCCACCAACACCAACCTAACAGTGAGGGAACCAGCATAGGATGAAACTTGGCCCTATAAATGTGACTGGGGCAGACTGTGGAGCCACTGGCAGTGAGACCAGGATTTATCTCTACTGCTTGTACTGACTTGGTGGAACCCATTCTCTTTAGAAGGATACCTTGCTTAGTCTAGATTTAATGGAGAGGGCCTTGGTCCCACCTCAAAGGAATGTGCTAGATTTTGTTTACTCCCCTTGGGAAGCCATACTCTCTCTGAGGAGTGAATGGGGGATGAAGTACTGGGAAAGGTAGAGCAAATGGGAGGAGGAGAGGGAGTGGAAACTGAGATTCTTAAGTAAAATAAGAAAAGATAGTTTTTTTTTTTTTTTTTTTTTTTTTTTGGTTTTTCGAGGCAGGGTTTCTGTGGCTTTGGAGCCTGTCCTGGAACTAGCTCTGTAGACCAGACTGGTCTCGATAGTTTTTAAAATAAAATAAAATAATAAAAATTAAGTAAAAAATAATATGTCACATTCAGGTTAACTTAAGAATATGAGCGGCTTTTTGGTTTGGTGAGACCCTGTTTATGTTGACTTTACTAATAAAGTTTATTCAAAACTGCTCATAAACAATTCCAGTCTCTTGGAGTCCAGAGATACTTCTGTCAATATTCATCACCACAGCTTTCCCATTTTAGTGTTTAAATACAAAAGAAACATGTAAATGCAGATGGTCACTGGATCTCAATCATCATTATTTTATTTATAGTTGTGATTTGGAAAACTTGACAAATATCCATATTACTGTGAGGAAGAGACAGAAACATCGACACTCAGAATGACTATTTCTGAGCAAGTCCCCAGGCTAATCTTCTCTGTTATTTCAACCAGACCCAGTTTCCTTCTCTTCCATGGTTTCTGACACACTCAGGATGTGGTTGGCAACACTGTGTCTTGCACAGTAATAGATGGCAGAGTCTTCAGATGTCAGACTGCTGAGCTCCATGTAGGCTGTGCTGGAGGATGTGTCTGCAGTCAGTTTGGCCTTGCCCTGGAACTTCTGATTGTAATTAGTAACACCATTTCCAGGATAAATATTTGCAATCCACTCCAGGCCCTGTCCAGGCCTCTGTTTCACCCAGTTAATATAGTTGCTGGCAAAGTTGTAGCCTGAAGCCTTGCATGACAATTTCAGTGAGGATCCAGGCTTTACCACCTCAGCCCCAGACTGCTGCAGCTGTACCTGGGAGTGGACACCTGTGGAGAGAAAGGCAAAGTGAATGTCCCTGTCCCGAGTGCATGGTACCTCCTCAAATCTGGAACTGGAGATCCCCTTACCTGTAGTTGTTGCCACTAGCAAGAGGATAATCCAGCTCCATTCCATCGTGAGGACCTGTGTGCTCAGTGACAGTGGAGAGGACACTGACCATGTATTGTTTTAGAGTGAGGACAGCTCTGTATTTACCACCATAGATTTTCATGTTTTGCATATTTAAGAGGGAGGAACCTTTTTAGGTAAAGACCTCATCCAACTTGAGAGGAAAGAGTTAGAGTACATTGAGTTAGGTATCAGAATGCTGAAGTCCAAAGTCCTAATCCTGTCTGAGAATATCCATCCCATACAAAACCCCAAGTCCTGTGCATAACTTGGGGATAAAACATTATGACCTATGCTCTCGATTCCCAAAGATACTTAAGCCAGAGACAGTTCCTCCTCTTGGTTAAAAAACTGATTTACAGACGGGTGTGATGCTCAGAATTAAAAAATTCCTAAACTACAGGAATTTTCATTCTTCTTTCATTTACATGAAGTGATTAAATGAATTTCAGGCAGGTTACATGCTAAAAAAGCTTACTCAAATGACCAAAACTGAAAATGTCTAGAAATATTTGTACAAAAATGTTGTTACAGTATTATCTATAATACATGAATTATAAAAACAAATTACATGTCTTTCTACTAATGACAACATCAAGAAAACATGGCATTTATATACAATATAACAGAATTTTTTGTATACTATAATGCTATATATAATGTTAAAAAAAGTATAAGGAACTTATATCACTTTTAAGAAAATAAATTCAATTGGTGATAATATTATTAAGTAAATTAAAACTGTCTGAGGAAGAGATATTGTATAAGATTCTCATTCGTAGCCTTTAGATTTAGCATAGTGATAAGCAATTATGTCTGCACATATGTAATGACATAGAACTGAATGTGTCTAATAGAATACATGTGAAAAATTGAAATTGGAAGTGCTATAAAAGGATAGACAAGATGGAACTCATGGGTAAATATGTACACCACACATTATACACCTGTATGAAAATTCTAAACATAGAGAATAATGTTTTTGTTCATTCTTTGCAATGTATATTCACAAATGAAATATATTTTAATCATATCATACCCCAGTATCTTTCTTGCTCTGTTTATGACCTCTCTCCAGACATACTGATCTCTTTTGTTTTATTAATGAATAGCTCACTAATTCTAATTAGTTAATAGGTTAATTAATTACTGCTATACATATGGATATGTTGGGGGTCCATCCACTAGCTCATAAGTAGCTTCCAAGTGGGCACACTCCTAAGAAAAGTGATTCTAACTTCCTAAGAAGTATTGCTATCCCAACAAATCTCCACCTTGGAGTAATTCATAAGGAGTCCACTGTTTCAATCTTTTAAAATACCAACCTGGTCTACAAGAGCTAGTTCCAGGACAGGCTCCAAAACCACAGAGAAACCCTGTCTCAAAAAACCAAAATTAAATTAAATTAAATTAAATTAAATACACTTTATTTAGTAGTGGTGGCAGGAACACATATGCCAAGGCCTATGTGAAAAACTTATCAGGCAACTTATGTAGTTCAGTTCTCTTCTTCTAAAATGTGACTATAAGAAATCAGTCTCATATTGTCAGGTTGGTCAAGAGGCACCTTTACCTGCTTTGCCATTTCAGAGATTTTCATACTGTAATTCTGACTGGCTTGATTTTGTGAAAGTCTTGTGCTGGTAACCACAGTAGCTAAGAGTTCATTTATGTGATGAGAATATGTTAATCCCTATAGATAGAATTTCAAGTCTCTCAGCCTCATCCTCTGAACCTTGAATTCTTGCATTTCTCAGCTTAATCATGGTCTTTCATTTCTGGACAGACTGTGAAAACAAGGCTTCTATCAATGACTTTTCTTTGTCTCAGTACCCAGTCACCCATTTTTAGCAATTTGACCAGTTGTGAATGTCTGCATTGATCATCACACATCATACAGAAACTTCTGTGATCAAGGCTGAGAGCAACACTAATTTGTAGAAACATAAGTTTATACAGTTTATACAGATTGAGTATAAACATTAGTATTTATTAGGTAGTTTGACAATATGATCATTAGCAGTACAACTAGGATCTACTAGGGCTATGTCAGTCCTATCAAAGTTATTTTAGGCAAGCTTACATGGGAGGTAGTATTTACTTTGAAACAGGGCACAGGAACACTTAGAAAGTAGTTGCTCACCATGTAAAATTCAGGCGTTTGTGGGTTCACCATGCCTGGAAGGAAATATTGGTGGCCACAAGGGCTGGTATTTTATAAGATCATCAGTGCCTTTTCTCTTACTGAAGACTACATAGCACCTTCTGTACAAGGAAATCATGCCAGGAGTAAGAATTTTCTCTTAAGTTCAAGGATAGTTTCTCCATGTCCTCCATTAAAATACTTATCTATCAAGAAAATCAAGATTAAAATAATTTTAAGTTTTTATTTTACTTCAGTTAGAATAACCACAATCAAGAACACAAATACAGCCATGGATATGGGGAAGGGTCATCCTTATTCGTTGTTGATGGGAGTATAACCTGTGTAGTTACTTTGGAAAAAGTTTTGGAGATGTTTTCAAAAAGTAAGAAATAGAGCTGTGATATGGACATCTATGTTTCTCCCACACGTATACTCAATTGGCTCTACATATTATTACAGAGAAACTTGCACATCAATGTTGTATTGATGAGAGTTGAAAAAATGAAATCAACATAGATGCTCAACAACAGACAAATAAATAATAAAAATTTGAGACATATATAAAATGGAATTCTACTCAATGACAAAGCATTAATAATGGAATCCATAGGTAAGAGGGTGGAATTCGAAAAAATGCAAAATTTTAAAAATACATTAAATGAGATCACCCAAATAAAAAGAGACAAATGCTTCATATTCTATCTCATACATGGTTCCAACATTGGAATATATTATTTTATGTGTTTCATTTAAAAGCTCTATTGGGGTTTTAGATATTAGGGGATTGGATTCAATTAAATACATGTAAAGTGAAAGTGGTGGAAACAGCAACTAGAGACAAAGGGATCCAAACATTAAGTGGTATTGGAAAATAGAGAAGTGATAGTTTAAGGTAGGGCTAACACAATTTAAGAATTATAAAAAATGAGCATTAAAATCTAGCATCTTGCAATGTAAGTAAAAAATAACTATAAAGAATTTAGAATGTATGTGCCATGACAAAAATAAATGGTCAGCATACTGGAAGCAAAAAAGCAATGTATTGAATGATAAGACATATAAATTGTGATGTTATTTCTATAATAAAAAGTCTGGAAATAATGCATAGTTCACAGTCAACTAGTTTCACATTTGGGATATTCTTCATATTGATGGAATAATTTTATGGATTCTGAGGTGATTTTATGGATCTGCTGCTACTCTATTTTTATCAAAACTTGGTAATCTAACAAAAGTTCAGGAAAAATTGAAGACGTGCAGATAAGACTTGTCGTTTACTTATAAGTACTGTATCAGTGGTCTGGTTCTGATTAAGTTCTATTATTCTGTGAGATATATGCACACTGAAAGCTGAGAAGAAAGTAAGGGGATGCTTTTTACATCTTATTTTCACTAATGAATCCCTGAGCAGAGGGACTGGAGTGGTTGAACAGTTTTTCTTTTCAAAGACACAAATTATTGAACATCTCACTACTGGGTACATGATATCTTTCTATGAGTTGATGGTGAGAGAGGTCCCATGCATGCTATAAACAGTATGTGTTGTTGACATTGTTCTTGGTTGAACACACAAAAAGTCTTTAGGCCTTATTTGTGAGAAGAATTTAAATTTTGAACAAGTTGTGAGAATCAGATGTATAGGTGACTCTAGGAAAACAGTGTCTTCTAGACACAACAGGAATGAAGGACATAAAAATACAGAGAGGCTGTGACATCAAAGACAAGGCCTGCACAGGGTAAAGTCCTGGGCTTAATGTACTTTTGTTTATATGCCATGCTTTCTAACTCTGTATTTCTATGTTTGCTTTCTTTTGACTTGTGTGTGGGTGTGTTTCTTGTGATGCAAAGAAAAATACTCTCTTTTTTGTCTATTTGCTATATATAGAAAGAAAAGTCAGAGGCTTTTAGGTTGTTTTCAGGTTCTGGCTATTACAAATAATGCTGCTATGAACATATATGAGCACATACCCTTGTGGTATGATTAAGCATCCATTGAATATATACCCAAAAGTGGTATTTCTGGGTCTTGTGGTAGATTTTTACTCAGAATTTTCTCAGAAGTAATTACACTGGTTTTCAAAGTGGTTGTAGAAGTTTGCACTTCCACCAGCAATGAAGGAGTATTCTCTTAATACCATATTCTCTCCATCATAAGCTGTGAACAGTATTTCTGATCTTGGTCTTTCTGACAGGAATAAGGAGAAGTCTCAGAGTTGTTTTGATTTACATTTTTGATGATTAAGGATGCTGAGCATTAGGTCATAAAGCAAAGAAAGAATAGACTACAGTCCACATCCCTAGGGAACCTAGACAACAAAGAGGACCTTAGAAGAGACATACATGAAACTACATAGAAAGAAGTAAAATACAGTGCCTCTGACTAAATTAGGGTCATGGGGGTCACAGGAGTGTATAGAAGGGGAGAGGGGAGAAAAATAAGGGAACAGACAACAATTTATACCTAAATAAAAATAACAAAAATGAAAAAAGGAAGTAAAAATAAAACCCAGAAAATGAAAAATAATACATAGTAAAAGAAAAAGATGGGTATGGAGTTGAGTGTGTGGGGAGATGGGAAGGACAGGAAGAAAATTTTTTTCAGGGTAAATAATGATCAGAATATACTGAGTGTTTTTTTCCCCAAAAGTAAAGATAAATAAATAGAACCGAATAAAAAGTAAATATAAGTCTATGAAAAGTTAATAATCTTTTCTGTGTTTGAACATGAAAACTATACTTGTAAACAACAGCAGCTGTAGCTCAGCTAATGGTCTTCTAAATGGAATCCACAGAGGCTGCAGTCTTCTCTCCTCATCTCATTTCTCTCCATTGAGCCTTTTGAAGTTACATTTTTATTATC